CGTGTGTGTCCCCCCCTACCCCAGCTCAGCCCCTCTGCTCCCACCCGGGCAGACCCAGCTGATGTTCAAGTGGGCAGAGCCAAAAATCTGCACTGAGGAGCTTCCCCAGGCGGCCAAGCTGCCCCCGTCCGGGGTGAAAACCAAGTGCCCCCCCTGCAACCCTGGCTTCGCCAAAAGCAACGGCAGCACCTGCCAGCCCTGTCCCTATGGCTCCTACTCCAATGGCTCCGGTAAGGACATCCCCATCATCATCCCCAAGGGGTGACTGGGCCACCTGGAGCTGCTGGGGGGGGGGGGAGGTGGGCCACCCCGGTGCAGGGTTGTCGCCTCCTGTCCCTAGGCTGTCTCAGCTGCCCGGCGGGCACCGAGCCGGCACTGGGGTTGGAGTACAAGTGGTGGAACGTGTTGCCCCCCAACATGGAGACCACCGTCCTCAGCGGCATCAACTTCGAGTACAAGGGGATGGCAGGTAGTGCTGGAATGCTGTCCCCTCGCTGTCCCCTGCCGCAAGGGCAGCCAAGGACCCTGCTGAGCCATCACCGTGTCCTTGCAGGCTGGGAGGTGGCTGGGGACTACATCTACACGGCAGCGGGAGCCTCTGATAACGACTTCATGATCCTCACGCTGGTGGTCCCTGGCTTCAGGTGAGGTGGGGACCAGCACCAGGGTGTTCCCAGGGATGGGGGGGACATTGCCATGGGCTAGAGCCTGGCAGTGTCCCCACGCCATCCCCAGCCCTCCGAGCCCAGTGCTGGAGGATGCAGAGAGCAAGGAGGTGGCCAGGATCACCTTTGTCTTCGAGACAGTCTGCAGTGTCAGCTGTGAACTCTACTTCATGGTGGTGAGTAGGGGCGACACAGCGGGGGGAGTTTGGGGGACACACACTGGGTTTGGGGGGAGTCCCACCATTCCCCTGTCCCCGCAGGGCATCAACTCCCGCACCAACACGCCAGTGGAGACGTGGACGGGCCCCAAGGGGAAGCAGTCCTACACCTATGTCGTGGAGAAAAATGCCACCATGAGCTTCACCTGGGCTTTCCAGCGCACCCCCTACCACGAGGCGGTGAGGGACAGGGGGTGACATAACCCCCCAGGGGGGCTGCAGGTGCTGGGGTGCATGGGTGGGCAATGGTGACAGGTGCTCTCGGTGCCAGGGCCGGCGGTACACCAGCGACGTGGCCAAGCTGTACTCTGTCAACGTCACTAATGTGCTGGGAGGGGTGGCATCCTTCTGCCGACGCTGCGCCCCTGAGCCAGCTGGATCCTGCGCCCCGTGTCCCCCTGGGAACGCCATGGACCGTGGCTCGGGCACCTGCCGGCCCTGCCCGCCCGGCACCTACCTGCGGGGTCACCCCTCCGATGGGACACCTACCTGCCACCCCTGCGGCCCCGGCACCCGCAGCAACCAGGTGCCCATCCCTCCCTGTGTCCCCTGGGGGTGTGGGTCCGTGGGGTGGTGGGGTGATTTCCCGGTGGGTGATGCCCGCCCCCCCGAGCCATCCCAAATAGGTGATGCTGTGGGGCCCAGAGTGGTGACACCAGCCCCCCCCTCCCATCCTGGGTGGGTGACACCGGCCCCTCTGGCCATCCTGGGTGGGTGTCACTGTCAGGACAGGTGATGCTAATCCCCAGCTGTCCCCAGGGAGGTGATACCAGCCCCCCTGGCCATCCAGGGTGGGTGACACCACCACCCCTCCCCCGGCTGTCCCTGAGGGGTGATGCCAGCTCTCTGCTGTCCCCAAGGGGATGACCCCAGCCATCCCCAATAGGTGATACTACCTGTCCCCGGCCGGGTGACACCAGCCCCTGGCTGTCCCTGACTCCCACCTCCTGCCCCCCCCAGCTCCGCTCCCTTTGCTACAACAACTGCAGCTTCTCCCTGGCACTACCGGGCCGGATCCTGCACTACGACTTCTCGGCGCTGGCCACCGGCACGGCCTTTACCAGCGGCCCCAGCTTCACCGCCAAGGGCCTCAAGTATTTCCACCACTTCAACATCAGCCTCTGTGGCAACCAGGTGAGGCCGGGGCAGCAGGCAGCGCTGCCCGCAGTGCAGGCAGCACCCGCAGCGCTGCCCACCTGCCTGCTGGCCCGGGGCCGGGGTTAGTGCCTTACCTGGACCATGGGAACAGGCGGGGATGGGTGCACGTGGTGATAGGAACACGTATGTGCGTGCATGTATCATGCACGCACACACGTGGGCATGCATATAAGGTGCAAACACATGCACACGTGCAGTCATGCAAACACAGGTAGTCACGCAAACATGCAAACACATGCACATCATCGTGCACGTGCGTGCATGCATCTGTGCGAGCACAGGTGTACATGCAGTCATACGGAAGCACGTGCACATGTGCACGCAGTCATGCAAACATGCACAGTCATGCTAACACCTATAAGTGCATGCATGCAGTTGTGCAAACACAGGTGTGCATGCAGTCACACGTGCACACATGCACAGCCATGCAAACACACATGCACACTTGCAGTCATGGAAACACATGCACATAGCCACACACACACATGCAGTCATGCAAACGCATGCAGTTGTGCAAACACAGGTGTACATGCGTGTACACATGCACAGTCATGCAAACTCACATGCAACTACACACAGTCATACAAGCACTTGCACACTCATGCGAACAGGCATGCAAACACGCACAAATGCTCATGCAAACACCCGTGCACACCTGCAGTCCTGCAAAGACACGCACACGTGCGCATGGTCATGCACACACAGGTGCACCCACAAATGTGCACCGTCACTTGCTGACACCCCCACACACACGTGTGCCGTCGCCACCCAGCGTCACCCCCTCTCCCTTGCTGCCAGGGCAGGAAGATGGCCTCCTGCACCGACAACGTGACGGACGCGCGGCTGCCGGAGGGCAAGGGGGACCCTGCCCGGGTGGTGACGTCCTACGTCTGCCAGTCCATCCTGGTGCCCCCCGACGTCATGGGCTACAAGACGGCCGTGTCCTCGCAGCCCGTCAGCCTGGCTGACCGCGTCGTGGGTGAGAGCCGGCACTCGGGGTGCTCCGGTGTCCCCCTTCTCCCCCCAACCTGGAGCAAACCCCTGTGGTTTGACCTTCATCCTCGCCATCCCCTCCTGTGGGACCCCGGTGCCACTGGGACACCCCGCTTTCGCCACAGGCGTCACCACCGGCTCCACACTGGATGGCATCACCTCACCCCCCGAGCACTTCCCCCCCGGCCACCCTGACCTGCCCGACATCGTCTTCTTCTACAGGTGAGGGTGGATGGCCGAGGGGGAACACACACACACACAGGGACCCCGCTTTTCCCCCCGCTGAGCCCCCCCGTGTCCCCCGTTGGCAGGTCCAACGACATGACACAGCCCTGCAGTGGGGGCCGGGCCACCGCCATCCGCCTGCGCTGCGACCCGCTGCGCCCGGGCACCGGCAGCCTGGCCGTGCCCAGGTAGGTGGGGACGGTGCTGGGGACCAGGGTGGCTTTGGGAGGGGTGGGAGCATCCTCACACCCACCCTAGGGTGACCCCCCATCTCCTGCCCACCCTGGCTGGCAGGGCATGGGGTGCATCCCTTGGGTGCTTTGCTTTGGGGACCCCACCGTCCCTGCTCGCCGTGTCCCCCACCCTGGCTTGTCACCGCCGGCCGAGCCCCCCCTCTTTTTCTTCCTCCCCCCCTCCCCGCCCCCCAGCAAATGCCCTGAGGGCACCTGCGACGGCTGCACCTTCCACTTTCTCTGGGTGACGGGCGAGGGTTGTCCCCGCTGCTCCGCCGGCCACTATCGCCCCATTGTCGGCGCTTGCCTTGGCGGCATCCAGGTACGACTGTGACACCAGGCTGGGATGCCACGGGGATGGGCTGGGGTCACCCACCCCGCTGAGCACCCTGTGTGTCCCCCCCAGAGAACCACCTACGTCTGGCGGGAGCCCCGGCTGTGCCGTGGCGGGCAGAGCTTGCCGGCGCAGAAGGTGAGGGGCTGCAGGAGCGTGGATTTTTGGCTGAAGGTGGGGATCTCTGCCGGCACTTGTGCCGCTGTCTTGCTCGCCGCCCTTGCCGCCTACTTCTGGAAGAAGAACCAAAAGTGAGTGGTGCCACCAGGATTTTGGGGACAGTCATAGCCACGGGGGATTGATGCCACTGCTCTCTATCCCCAGGCTGGAGTATAAATACTCCAAGCTGGTGATGAACGCAGCGGCCAGGGAGAGCGAGCTGCCGGCGCCAGATAGCTGTGCCATCATGGAGGGGGAGGACGCCGAGGACGACCTGGTGTTTGCCACCAAGAAGTCGCTTTTTGGCAAAATCAAGTCCCTCACATCCAAGGTAAGGGGCAGGGGGGCACAACCCCAGAGCAGACACCGGAGAAGCCACAGCAGTGGTGTAGTTTGTGGCTGCTCCGTGCCTCAGTTTCCCCACCCCAGGGGGGTATGGGGGGAGGAGGCGGGGTGGGGGGCTCAGCCCGCTGACACCGGGGCTCGCCGCAGAGGACACCGGATGGTTTTGACTCCGTCCCGCTGAAGACATCGTCCAGCAGCACCGCCATGGAGCTGTGATGGGGCGGGGGGGGCCACCCGCGCCCACCCCCCCACCCCCCCAACGTGGCCTTAGGGACCCGCTTCCGACCAGAGCTTCGTTACGGCTTTTGTACGTCCCCTTCCCCCATGACCCCCCCAAACCAAGCGCTGAAAAATGCCAAATACAGGTGTGGGGTTTGTACGACGGCTCTGTGTTCCCCCCCGCGACCCCCGGCCGGGCACCAGGACACTGGCACACATGTGGGGGGGTGCAGGTGGGTGTGACCGTGGGCATGCCACAATGGGGGGGGAGGCAGGGAGCGTGTTGTACGTGCACACAGGCGTGTCCGTGCGTGTGTGGGGTGCTCGTGCGTGGGGTTGCACACGTGGGCTGCATGCGCACACATGTGTGGGGGTGGGTGTGCACGTTGTGGGGGGTGTTCACACGCTTGGCGGGGGGAGCGTGCTTGTGGATGGGGTTGGGGATGTGCACATGTGCGTGCGAGCTCCGGCCGTGGCACGGCTGACTCCTGTGCTGCTGTTGCAGCTCAGGGTGCCGAGGTGAGTGCCCGGTAGAACGTGGCTGTGCCATCCTGGGCCAGGCCATGTCATGCCGTGCCGTGCCATGTCATGCTGGGCCAGGCCATGTCACACCATTCCATCCCAGGCCATGCCGTGCGGTGCCATTCTGTGCCTGGTGAGGCGTGCCACAGCTCGGCACCAGCCCTGTACCCACCTCTCGCTCCCTGGGCTCGCTTGGCCGCCAGCACAGATTGACCTCTTTGGGCAATTCTGGCCAAAGCGGGTGCCCACTGCCGCAAGCTCCCGGCACGGCATTTTCCACTGCCACCCTGGCACCCGGGTCATCTGGGGGGTCCCTGTGGCTTTGGTCCCAAAGCCCCTGGTTCCCCTCTGTCTTGGGGGACAGGGTCCCCACAGTGGAGGGGGCACCCAGGACCCCTCCGGGAGCCCCCCAAGGACCGGACAGTGGGGTCTGGCTCCTAGCCTGGGGACGATGGCGGGGGGCTGCTCCCGTGGTGGGGGGTGGCCGCCCTAAGCCAGCATTTCCAAGGGTGCGTCCCCCGGTGGGGGCTGGTGCCCGGTGCTGGGGGCGGAGGTGAATGTTGGGGTGCCATGGGGTGCTGTGGGGGGACGCTTGGGGACACCCAGGGCCCCCCGGGGATGCCGGCAGGCGCGGGGGGCGGCTGGGGGTACCCGGGGGCCACCAGAATACCCGGGG